AGTGATTCAACGTTAATGATTATATAATACATGGATGGATCGAGGGGAGTGATACAATTATTTGTTGAAAATTTAAATTATATATATTTTAAATTTTATATATTTTTTATAAAAGTTTTTATTTTTCAGAAATTTTAAAAGTTAAAATCCTACGTACGTCTATGTGTATACACACACACACACACAAAGCTAAGCTAAGCTAAGCTAAGCTAAGCTAAGGCTTTGAAAGACAATGGTGGGGAAGAGAAGGGAGAAAGTAGGTTCAAGATCCCAAACGCTACCCTCATCTCCTTCCCGCTCTTTCTCTTCATCTTCCTCCTCCGATTTTGAGTTCACCATCTCACTCTCCCACGCGCCGCTACCTCCTCTTCTCTTTGCCCTGCCGATGACCTCTTTTACAAAGGCCAGCTCTTGCCTCTCCACCTCTCCCCTCGTCTCTCCATGGTCCGTACCCTCCTCTTATCTTCCTCTTCCACCTCCTCCTCCACCGTCACCACCTCTCGCGACTCCACCGCCAGCTCCCCAACGACTCCCACTCGTCTTTCGCCAGAAACCTCCTCTTGCTCGCCGCCGATAACTGCGGCTCCTCGAGGCCCAGCTCTGTTTCCGAAGACAACGGGAACCAAATATTTTGACTCATCATCATCAACAGCAACAACAAATCAAGAAAACAAGTATTTTCTTTGTCGAGATTCTCTTCCATGTCACAAAGAATAACAACATAAGCATGAGCAGGTAACCATGGCGGCGGCACTTCTTCATCGTTAAAAAGATGAGCATAACAGCGAAACGAGTTATAAGCAAGTACTTGAATAAAGTGAAGCCATGTACGAGAAACTATCACAAACAGTTGAACCGGTTTCAGCTTTGTCGTCATCAACATCGATTCCAGATTCATTCTCAATCAAACCAATGAGATCTGTCAAAGAAAGCAACAATGGGGGATTTTCTCACTCTTTCTCGGGAAACTTGAGGTACCCAAGAAGGAGAAGCTGCATTTCGAGCTGCCCATCGTCGATACGTTCCTCGCCGAGCCACTCGGAGTGCTCTCTCGAAAGGGTTGCGATGAATACGGACGTCGGTGGTGGCATTCAGTGTCCGAATCAGTCGTCGATGGAAGAATTGCAGAGTGCTATTCAAGGTGCCATTGCTCATTGCAAGAATTCTTTGCTTCATAGCAAAACTACTGTAATAAGTACGAAATTTGACTGTAAAATCTATTCTTCGATCAATTTTCCCCATATTTACAGCATCTCATTAATTAGAATAGAGGAAGTAAATTTATAACCAATTTAAAAAATAATAATTTAATTGACTCAATTTACATATTTGATTTGATTTTAAAAAATAAAATAAAATTTAATGATAAATACGAATCATCACTTTAATTCATTGTATTTATTTCTAAATTCCTTGTACTTCTAATTTTTCTTACATTTTAGTATTATTTTGATTAATTTGAATTATATATTCCTTTGTCATTACAGAATATAAATGTAACTTCAATTCATATTTTTAATAAACTTTATTCTTTTACAATTTAATATCTTGTATTTTCATTTTATTCAATGTAGTTTTTATTGTATTTTTTATAAATCTTTATTTCATTCTTCTTTAACTCTTTTATATCTCATTTATGGGCGAATACATGATTTTATGTTCGGAACGAACTTTTAAAATTTTAAGAGATATGAACTTATAAAATTATAGATGACGAAAATATAATATCAATAGAAAATACCAAAAAATTAAAAATATAATAATTTAAAATTTTCAGGAGCGACTACCCCCAACCCCCTTGATCTATCACTAAATTCGTATAAATACTTATTCCTAAAATATATTCTTTAAAAATAAAATTATAGATATATTTTATAATTTTAAACACTTTTGATTATTAAATAATAGTATAATCTAAAAGGAACATGAAAAATAGATATTACTCTTATATATTAGAGAACCTTGTTAAATTAACCATTATTCATAGTAATATTATAAATATCTATAATTTTATTTAAACAAAATTTAAAACTTGACTCAAATAAGATTTTATAAACTTGAATCAACTAAAAAATTAAATAAAGTTTAGACCCTAAAATAAGACTCGCTCAGCTAGTTCGAGATTTTTGGCTCGATTCGATTTAATTGAATATTCACCCCTAATCGATAATAAACTTATAAAAATATAAAATTTAAAAAGGTATAGGATAAAAATTTAAAAATTTTATGGGTATAATCCCTCTAACACCTCTTAATCCATCCCGAGAAATGGCATGTTATTATTTAATGTTTAGGTAGGTTGGTTTGGTGAGAGAGACATGTGATGTGAAGAATCTAAGATTCGGCCTCCGATGTGAGTATGAGTACAATTAAGTTTCAAACTTTGGAATTGTCAAATTAATGTATTTTTTTATAAGTTGATGCTCCAATTTTATAATTAATTCTGTCGGTGAACGACTTTCACTCCACTAATCCAATTATTATTTAAAATTTGTTGAAGTTAGTATCTTTATAAATTTTGTCAAAAAGAATATTTATTTAAAAAACTCTTAATATATATATATATATATATTATATATATATTATGATGTTCGACTCAAAATCTCAAAGATCACAACAATCTTTTAATCATTAAAATCGCTTGAATTTTACTTTGTTTCCATAGGAAAGATTAACCAATGTTTCAGTGGGACTTGATGTAGGGGATCTCTACCAACTGATCGAAAAGGCGACAACTAATAACTTGTCTGGCTCAATTGGCAAAGCAAGGGTTCTTGGGATTACGAGCTGGTCTCATGTTCTAAGTTCGAACTGCGCTGGTTGGAAATCCTGGAAAAAAGCGGGAGATAGAGTGGTGGGTTCTTTGAATCCTTTCGGAGGTTTCTTTTATAGGGTCGGATTCTTTAACCTAATCTTGAGAGGTCCAACGTTATCAAAACAAAAAAAACCTTGTGCTCACAAATCACAGCGTTAGGTACATGTGTTGGTTCTCTTTCGGCAGCATGACCCATGGGCCTCATTTCACTGTATCGTTGGATTTGGATTAGTAGGGTTATTTTGTTCCCACAATAATGGATTTTTATTCTATCTTATAATTCGGATTATATGAAAATCTTATTAATCATATTTGATCAATAATAAATTTATATTACTTCAATGTTTAAGATAATTTAAAAAAAAAATTGTTATCACTTTCAATGACAATAACATATAAAAATTCTAGTCATTTTGGTCTATATTATTTTTTTCTTAACATTTTAATCACAATGTTTAATGTTTCATTTTAAGGTAACAAATCCTTTACGTTGGACTAAATAGTCACCTTAACTCTTTTTCTTTCTTTCTAAAACATTTTTGACTCCCAACATTACATTACATTTTAGGACAAAAAAATTCCTATTTTGGAACATTAACCATTTGTTAACTAACAATTTTCATTAATGAATGAACTTTTTTGCCCCAAATAAAACATTTGGGGCTAAATTACTCCAAAAAAAAGTTAAATGATTATTTTCAAACATTAAGAGCATTTTTGCCATTACGTCTAAACCTGCAAGTGAAGATGGCAGCAAAGTAGGAAGTTGAGGGTGAAAAATTATGAGATCTCAAATTTCCCAGAATCAAGCAAACAGTAGTTTAAGATGGAGAAAAACACAATGGTTTAAACCCCCCCCCACCCAGACCAGAGCATTACATAGGGATATAACTGACCTATACCTTCTGTTCTCTGTGTTCCTATTCTCTGTCTATACTACATTCTAACAAGGGTACTAGCCAAGCAGGGGCTTTCTTTTTAAAGTAGCTTCAATGGTAATAATTTATGAAATAGTTCACCGAAAGAAAATTAATTTAGAGACAGATGATTACACGGTACAATGCAATAGTTTCGTCCGAGATAACACGGTCAATCTGAATCTATTGAAGCAGGTAAGATATTGGCTACCTGCTCGTCCAGCTGCTTTTTAAGATACCTCTGAGCAGTTGCATTAACAATCTTGACAAAGAAGTTGATGAGCATAAGCCACACAACAGTGTTCCAGATTGAAGTGAATGAAAAATCCCACTTCCCCTACAGCATCATTTTGCGCAATGAAATTTCCGAATTTGTTAGATTCGAGTCGGCCATAACTCGGGTTTAAAATGGATTGAATTGTTTATACTTGGCTTTAAGAGAGTGGAGTACCTTGATATTTGAAGGTAGAGGGCGTGGGGCCAAGTACTTGTCTTTGGCTGCATGGAGTTTTGCCGTGAGGGTGGGCAAGAAAGTATCGAATCCGGGTATGAAGCCAAGAATCCAGATCAATTCATTCTCGATCCAGTCAAGGAGTTGATTATTACAGACGGAGATAATGAAAACCATCTGCAGAGAAGGAATGAAAGAAGGTACTTAGTACATAAATTCATCTAACGATTCGAGAATTGAGACATTTTTTGGCCAATGCCAGTACCGAGAATCGACAAATGAGCATATAATAAAACCAATTCAGGGAATCAAAAGAAATCAATTTGGTTAAAGAAGAAAAATATCGAAGCAATTCGAGTTCTGCTTGCAGTAAAACACAAAGAGGAAATCAAAAACCTGTATGTAAGTTTTGATAAATGCCTTCCCAATCAATGTTGAGAGAGAATTTCCAGAAAGGAATTCCAATTGTCCACACATGATACCAGCAAGGTCGAATAAAGGATTGGGGACCTGAAACACGATTAAGATGATCAGCTGGTTTACAAAATAACATCAACTGCGGGATAATACTACATATAAACCACGGTCAACTTATATTCTTATGGCTTGGGAAAATTTTACCAGGATGGATGTCGTCTTAAAGTAGGACTTTTACTGAGATAAAAACATTAGTAGTTTTAGGCAAAGTGTGTCCTAGGTGTCACGAAGACGAAAAACAGTAAAACCATAGTCATAGAGAAACAAAATTGCAGTGAAGAGAAAGGTGCTGACCGAGGCAAGAACTAAAATGGTAAGAAGTTCAAGTGTTGGGAGTGCGATAACAGCCAGCCCTCGATCTTTTTCAGGTGAGTAGCTATAACTCCAGATTTCTCACTTGAGGAAGCATCCAATTCTTCCATGGCATCAATTTTCTTCCCGACTCTCTAGCTGCATAAGCAGAAGATCAACGTCAGGTAAAAATTTACAATTATATAACAATCTTTAGTAGACGGTTAACTTTCGGATCAGAGAACGGCCAAGGTTTTGAACTTCGTACAAAATTAATTACCAACCAAAGCAGCATCAAAAGTAGAAAAAAAAGATGGAAGAATGAAATCATTTAAATGGTGAACCATTTTTCTCAGAAAATAAAACCCGAGATCATCATATTATGGAAAATAAATATGCCTTGAGCATTATATCCAGTATCAATGCTTATGAAAATCGGAGTGGGCCTCTTCCAGAAATGTCAAAACCAATACTTCTGGTAAATCTTTTTATTGTAAATAAAATACATCAAGTATAAATCCGGTGCACATACCAGCTCTGAGATAAAGTAAGGAGGAAGCTCTCCGAGTGCAGTCCCGATACCCCATAAGATAGCTTCCATCTGCACCTGCGGCAGTATGCTGCTAAGTGGAACCCTTGAACCATGGGATGTTGAAACAACGGAGGTCCAAACTCTTCACAGGATTTATCCAGCCATGAAGGGCCTCTCTTCAACTGTATTGTATCATATGGAGCACTTTTCAGGTCAACTCGTCACATTGCATTGCTTTTATGGTAAAACGCAATATGAGGACCCAAATATAGGACAAAAGTATGCAGACCAGATCCTGGAATAGGAAATTTGAAGTAAAGAAGTGACAGGTCAGATCAAGGGAAATTTGACATCTGCTTAGTCAACCAGCATTAGCCTATAATCATACACTGATATAACAGCATAGAAAATCGAAAATTAATCCAAATCACGTAATATTCATCAAGCATATTCCTCCAGACTATCATAAACGTTCATAAAATAAATATTCTTACCAAGACCGATTGAAGATGCAACACCAAGTGCTATCCACCATAGTCCAAACTGAACATAATGAGAAACTTCCTCGATGTGCTGATGAAAAAAGCAATGAAGATATCAACAGTTAAGTATCGTTCCTATTGATCAGGGCACAATAAATGATGAACCAAGAAATAGAATTATTTCAACTAAATAATGAGCACAGATTATCATCAGCACCATAGAAAAAATGGTTACGATATATGCATAGATCGAAAAAAATGGTTACAATATATGCATAGCTCATCAAGAGACAAAAGAAAGAACCAGCACAATCACCTCAACTCCCCCCCCACAAAATGAAAAAAAAATAGTAATGAGCAATTTGCCTCACAGTCACTAATTCCAAAAAAAGTAAGACCCTTATAAGCTACAAACAAAATTGCACATATATGCTTTGCATCAACAGAAAAATATGATAAAGACGGATGAAAAGACTAGTTTAACCTAAAAATTTACCTACCTTTTCATGAGGACCCTCAATGGTCACAAGAAAAATTCCAAGAACTGCTATTAGAGTGCTTGAAAGCATAAGCCCACCACCCTTTGCCAAAAGATACAGTGCTGATCGCTTAAAATATTGATAGATAGCCAGAATGAAAAACCTTAATGTTTTGAAGGGTTGTGTTGTCAATGTCAAATTTTCTAATTCTTGTTGATGACTCTCATGAATATCTGCAGCAATTAACAAGCCGATCAGTGATGGGTTTACAAGAACTCCACAACTAAATCCTCTTTACAAGGAACACAAAAATAAAGCTAATATCATTCAGCATCATTGCATAAAAAAACTTTCATGTCAACCTATAAATATAATTCAACTATAGATGGAAAATGGCATTATACAACAAAAGCAAACATTCTTGCACTGCGAACATGAAATTTGCATTCTGAGAACATATGCTCACGAAAGCAAATGAGCTGATTAGAAGAAACCATTCCACTTGCCAATGTTGAGAAATAACACTATAAAATCTCCTTGCCCCCCACCCCCATATATTAAATTGAATTTTTCAACAATTATGACAAACAAATTGATCTATTTATGTCATGTTGACAATGTGCTAGCCCAACTAAAAAGACGAGAGAATAGAGCAATGAATGCTTTCCACAAGAGGAATAAAAAATGCGCATAAATAGATGTATGTTTCTCCCAACCTTGATTACCACACATAGATATAGAATCAACTATAAAGGAAATGTACAGAATTGTAGACTTTAAATCATCATACTCCGAGCTTAGCAAAACCGACGCACTTAGTTTTCCTTTATTTTCTTTGCCCCTACATCTTTCTCTTTTTTCTTGGAAAACCCCAAGTCCATATAAAAACTCCCCAAAGCACACGAATAACACCAGCAGAACCACCCCTCAAAATCAAAACTTTTCAATCACTTCACAAAGGAAGCTGCTATAAGATAAACCAAAACTCAGCGCTAAACATAGTTCGAGGAAAGTGTGAATCTACCTCAGATTGACACACGCTAATAATCATGACCAGCTAAAATTCATAATTAACCTAATGGGCAAAGCATCTAGAGATGGGGCAAATCAACTCGATAAGTTCCTAAAATAAATTTAATGTGGAAAAACAACCAATGAAATAAGGAAACGAAGAGTATTTCTAGCAAAAAGTTACTAAAAACAAAAACAAAACCACTAGCCTTCGATCGACGATGCCATTTGTTGAGAAGAAGCAGCGCTTTTGCTTGAATCCATCACCAAACTGACATACTACAATGGGTTTTCTTTCTTGTTCAATTCCTCAAATAAAATGGAATTTTTCGTCGACATCCACCGTATTTTCGAGATAAAAAAGGTGTGGTCCTGGGAAGAATCAGAGGGCTATAATCGAATCACTTGTAAAGGAATCAACATTTATTGTTTTAAAATCACAACAATACCAACAGAGGTTGTGTTTTAGAATAAAACAGCAGTAGATCTAGAGAAAAAGAAATCAAGAGTTCGGAAAGAGTGATTTTTGTGTGAAGATCTCTCTTATTTGAGCCTTCTTCGCTCCCAAATTATAGTTTGATCTTCCTTTTCTTTTCTTTTTCTTTTAATTTAAAAGGGTATTTTTATTTTGTGATGTTTTTTTTTTTAATTTAATGTCACTGAATAATGGATAATTATAATAAATTATAAATAAATCATTTAATTAAAATATTATTGCAAATATGTGTAACTTTTAGAAAATTAGGTAACAATCGAATGATATATTTATAAAATATTGTAATCGAATAATGTTTATAATTTATTATATTCTCAACCATTTGACATTGTCACATTAAATACTCGTATCCCTGAATTTTCTAATGCTCGAACTCGGAATCTAAAGATATAACAATTTCTTTTACCAACAAAATCATTAGGATCGTGATTAAGTGATATTTTTAATAGATAATCAAGTGATCTTAATATAAGTTACCCCTAAATAATTTATTGTGAATTAATTTTCTTAATAGAGTCAACTATAGTTTTCTCTACTCAAATGTGCCTTATTCTTGTTTTAAATATTTTAATTTGATCACTTAATTTGATATGTTTTATTTTGTCATTATGTTGTTAAATAGTTAACGATATTATATATGGTAATTTACTTTAAAATAACATCATTTTGGATCCTTAAAAAATAATTTAAACCAAACAATGTCGTTTTAGATTTCTATAAAACTTTGTTCTCTTCATTTTCTTTTCTTTTGCTTTTATTTTCTTTCTCTTTGTTCAAACCAACTCAAATTTCAACCATCGTTGTTTGTGATCGATTGTCGTTCTAATCAGTGACGATAGTCAATGAATCCTAAAATTTTTCAATAAATTCATTTCGCATTCCTGAACGTGAATCAAGTGTTCGTTTAACTGGAAACACCGTAAACAGTGATGGATGTAGAATTTTATATTAGGGAGGAATATCTAAAATTTTAGTGTGGACAAATTTATAAAATTCAAGGGACAAAAATAGATTTTCAATAGAAAATACATAGAAAAAAATCTAAAATATATGGTAATTTTAAATTTTTAACAGGGCAACTGCCCCCACCCCTTTTGGTCCATCTCTAACCGTATATTTCATGAATCTAACATTAAATGCTTTGATTTCTTTCTTTTTTTTAATCTTTATTGTCTGTTGTTAAATGTAATCTAAATTAAGATTTGTTGTTATTTACCCTAAAAGAAGGGCCTCTACACCGTTAGGATATTCAAATAGAAGCTATGATCACCCGAGATACTCCAAAGTCGAAGGCGCACTGTTTTTCTAATATTTTTCTTCTTCTTCCTTTTGCATATATGTTCCTGCAAAAGAACATGTCTAAAAAAATACAATCAAATAATTTTGTTTATTTTTTGTGATCGAAATATTCTCCATCATGTGTATAAATTTGTGTAGATGCCTAATGTACTCTGGAAATGTTTGCAGGTTTTAATGGCCACCACCTTCTCATAAAGGATCATATTCAAACGTAGGGGGGCCAGAATAATATGATCTGAAATTTTTAATTTCTAAAAATCGTGGGTGATGCCTGTTAGTGAAATTGTCAATCGCGACGAGCGGTAGTCGAAATTTAGGTTAGTGCCTACGTAACTAAAAAATTAATAAAAAACGAGTTAACACAAAGTTAGAGAGATATTGATGGGATGATTAAAAGGATAAATCTCTAAATTTGAATGATCAAATTAACTTTTTTTTTAATTTAATGACCAAAACAAGAGTGATAAGAAAATTGAATGATGAAATTTATAGTTTACACCTTTTAATATAAAGTACTATGATAATGTATCTTGACATTTTCATATAGTTTGGTAAATAACACATACTTCTATGTGCAAATAAAAATTGTTCGACACTTCAAAAATATTTTTTATGAAAAAAATAGTATTAGATTAAGTAGAGGATTAAAATTATTAGATTTTAGCATATGGATTGCTAATGAGACCTTGATTTTGATGGAAATATAATTTGTTGGATTATAACAAATTATTAGACAATGGAGTTGTCAGCATAAATTATGTATTTTTTTAACAAATATAAAATAGGGATAAATATTGGTTCCATTGGGTTGGGTTTTTGATCGATTTAAGTATTATATTTTTTTCGCTCATTTCTCAATATATGTTTAGGGAAGCTTAATCCACCTAATTTTGATCTGATTTTTTTTTTTTCATTTTTTGTAAAAACTCACAACCGACTGACCTGATATATATATATATATAACAAATAAGACATGATTGAAAATAAATATACAATATGAATATTATTGTAATTATCTTATATATATAAATGATAATTATAATCTATCAAGTCGGGTCGAAGAAATTTTCACTATAAAATCAAATCAAATTCGAGTCAACTTTATCTTTAAAAAACATAATCTAACCCAAACTCTTTTTTATTTTTTTGAAAGACCATAGGTAGAGTAATAACTCGTCGGTCCAAATTTCATGGCATTCTTAATATGAATGTAAAAAGAATAAAATGATGGAACAAGGAATGTCGAATCAGTCACATCTTTTAGAAATTTTAAATTTATATATAATTTATCTATTTTTTTATTTATTATTGATCTGCTTTTACATCACATATTTTTTTTTATAATTTTATAACTTTAATATATTTTTTAAAATTTAGACTCTTACATAAAATTACGAGTATCTTTCCTTGACAATATCCTTAATATCAAAATAAATATTTTTATTTTTATATTAAAATCTGATTATAATAGAATAAATGCCCCATGATTAGGGGTAAATTCAAGTTGGAAACTTGGAAATTGGAATAAAGTCTTGGGTTTGGTATCATTTCTTAAGTCAATAATTAAAGATGATTAATATTTGAGGTATTATTTTATTTATTGTATAAGTTATTATTTTATATTTTATTTTAGTTTAGATTTAAAACAATTTAGGTAAAATGATAACTTTTGCTCTTATAGTATACATAATTTACCACTATATCTTATCGTATTTTCATATCAATTTAATTCTCGAAGTTATTCAATTGTATCATTATACATCCTAACCGTAACTTAAAATCCAAAATCGAATGTTTTAAGATTTAGGGTTTATGACTTATAGTTTATAGTTCAGGGTTTAGGCTTATCAATTTAGAGTTTAAGTTAGGGGTAAGGTATATAATGACACAATTAAATAAATTTGAGAGCTTAATTGAAGCGAAAATACAATATGACAAAAATGATAAATTGGGTCTACTCCAAGGACAAATGTGACCCTTAAGTCTATATTTTAATTACAAATTTTATTTATTCGTACATTATAATGATTAATTTTAATCTTTATTATATAAATGCATTTATTATAATTACAATCTCATATATAAATCGTATTGATTAATTTTTTTATACAAATATATATGGATTATAACTATAATTTACATAACATTTAAATATATAATAAAATATAAATTATGAGGTAAGATCCAATTACACATTATAAAATTAAATTTTTTTATACTAATTTAGAATTATTGAGTAAGTGAAAACAACAGCTGAGATTAATAATATGAAATAAGAAGATATTCATTGAAAAAAATAAGGAGATAATCTCAGTTGTTTATTTTCACTCATCTAATGATCCTAAATCAATGTAAAACTATTTTTTTTACATTATGTAAGTAAATCTTAAACCATACATTATATAGAACTATTTAATTATATGAAATTAATTTAATTTTACACTAATATGGAAATAAAACAAAATAATTACAAACTGGGACTAGTTATAAAAATAACCAAATTATAAATTATTTCAATGAGATTGTGGAATACGTCACATGTATGTCACATGGTCATAAAAGGCAAATGTTTATGGGCATCCACACCTTATTGTTTGCTTAGTTATTCAATTATATAGGAAGTGATGTTTGATTGACAATGAAACAATAATATATGTTATGTTATTTTTATACTACCTTAATGTGACCCATGGAATGGTGAGGTGGTGAAAATAAGCCAAACAAAAGCAATTATTTTGATGATGATGATTGATGTTGCATGTGCAAACTATGATGGATGATAATAAAATATTTTTTTTATTTTCTTTTTTTTTAGTTTTGTTTGATATAGTTTTTAGTATATTATCTAGTGATTGATTAATTCAAATAAAATATTATAGAAGTTTATTATAAGGATAATCATCTCAATTCATTTTTTTTTTCATCCACAACATCACAATTTGAACTTATTACTTTATTTAAGGGATCTAACGTTTTATCTCAGAAGTAATAATTCATTAGTACTTTTTTAAGTTAATAATAAATTTCTAGAGCGGATAGTTAAAAGCTCTCTGTTGGTACCTCACATTTATCTTAGGTTGTGGTTTCAATATCCATTAAGAGAAAAATTCTCAATCCTTTCCCCTAGATAAAAATTATTAAAAAAATAATAATATTGTTTTAATGTTAATATTTATTAAACATGAAACGAAAAGAATTGCATTTTTAAGATTATTATTAAGTATATTTCCTTTCTTTGCAATGTTGAAATAAAAAAAATGTTGACATTCTATTAAACAATCTTTTCGAAATTATGATATATTATAACTTTTTCTCCCTATCAATTTAGTTTTTCTAATTATAAATTATAATAATTAAAATTAAAATTAACCATTACAAATATTTGCAGTGAATTTCTTTAAAAAATATTAGTTACTTTTATTAAGAAAGAAAAAAATCAAAATTATAATGAACGTTTATATATAGAATCGTAAATAAACATATAATTAGAAAATATTTTATTTTTTTATAGTATGAGGTGATTACGAGATATTAAATATTCATATTGTTTTAACTATTGACAACACACATCCTACAAACATAATTACTTAAACCCAAAATTTTTAAGAATAATAATAATTTCTCTAATCATTGGGGATCTTAAACAATTTTTTTTTTTAAATAAACCAACTGATTTTGATCAGCAGATGAATAATTTGACATACAAAGTAGTGGGGAGATATGAAGTTTCCAAGAAAGCAGTAGATGTGGTTGCGAATTGGGGCAAGTGAGGTGTTGGGATATCCAAGTTTTTGTTGCATAGCAATTATGATTTTGACAGTAAAGTAATTGTTATTATTTTTTGAGGTCTTGGATTCGAGCACTATGAATGTGAGGGGTGTGAATGTTTACTGTCAATTGGTTGAGAGTTATCTTTGAACATATATTGTATTGTACTTATCCTAGATTAGTTAAAAAAATTGTTTAGGGTTCTTATAATTTACAAGACAATATATGTTCATAATTTTCTTAACCAGTTGACAATTTGTTTGTCACAATATTAGAGATGAATGCTTCCATGTCTTTTTTTGTTGCCCTCCCAGTTTCAAGGCTTCGCCTTGACTAATCTGGACAGATCTGCGTCGCACACCTGACTTTGGTAGGTGAGTCTTCCAACGGGGATTTTCTGCATACAAAAGAACAACTCACTTCTCTTCCATGTTTTTGTAGATACCAATAGCTACTCCATTTTGGTTGGTTGAAAATGGGTGGGTCATGTATTGTAAGAGTTTCCTTCCAAGTTTTTTCTAATAGTGTAGGATGATTATAATTTATAAGATGATATGTATTCATAATTTTCTTGATTTATTAATAACTTACACATGCTCTGCAAACACAACTACTCCATTTTATTATCTTTAAAAAGGACAATCTTTCCTTTAACTATAAAGACTACTTGATGAGTTCTCACTATTCCGATTCTCACAATATTAGAGAGGAATGCTTCCATGTCTTTAAACCCCAACCACCTTTGTTTTTAGACTTTGGAATTTCCACCCAATTGATCTTCCAAACTCCATCTATCTCCTTAGAAAAAGGATTGGGCCAATCAAATGAAGTAGACACCCTGAATCTCTCCATTCCTTCGCGTTTTCTTTTCTTTGAGCCCCTCATTGTAATCATTTGTTTACTCCTACGAGTTAATTGTTCTCTTCCTTTATTCCAAAAGAACAATATCGATTAAATTCCATCTTCCCCTTGTAAAAAAACTAATGTAATTTTTTTATAACCACTGATATTTAATCTATTGATCAACTAATTCTGACTGGATATTGTAGAGACGAGAATAACCCTTTCAACCCAATTTATTCCATTTACATACGCCAAAATTTGAACTTCTTTGTTTGCCAATTGAATGTAATAGAATCAATATAATTTCATTAATGGTAAAACTTGTATATAAGAATCTAAAAAAAATACATCAAGTCGAGATGGAACAATGATTATGGTTATATATTATGGTCGTGGTATGTGTACTATTTTATCAATTTTGAAGTTTTTTTTTCATCATCCTAAATCTAATTTTAATCTTATTTAGAGGAGAGGAGACTTTATGAGAATGAAAGGAAATGCTCTACTTCGATTTTGAGAGGTTTAAATCTTAAATATGGCATAAAGAGACATATTCCTTTTATTAAGATCTAATATGGATTCATTGGTGCACCTCTTCCACCAATAAATCCATAATGAATTTAAAATTATCAATTTAATTATTAAGATCATGATAAATTCATTATAAATCACAACTCCTTAAAAATTTTAGGGTCCATATAAAAGGAGCAACACTATAAAAAAAGGAAATAAATTATTGGATCTTACTCATTTACGAGAAATTATTTCAAATCGCTTAATTTGTCATATCACTCATGATCTTAATTTAAAAGATGATTTATTTTATCCATATTTAAAATAAATTTTTTAAGTAACTATTTTTAAAAAATTATATAAAAATACATAAATATTATTGAATAAATTATTAAATAGTGGGTTTTCACTTGGTCTAGTGAGATGAGGCACTAGATTCTTCAATCAATGTCAGGGGTTCGGACCTTGACATTTGCAAATTGAGCAAACTGGGTTGGGAGGGTCCCCTTGGCTCTTCAATATCCGATCCGAATTAGTCGGTTAATAAATTGAATACCGGTGATTTATTAAAAGAAATCGTGACTGACTGTAATAAGAAAGATTAAAGAAATTATTTTTTTGTCAAAAATAATTTTTTTGTTGAAGAAATATAAATTACGAATATGATCCAATAGAATCAACCACCATTAAATGCAATAAAATCAAGCAATAACTTTTAAGGAAATTAAAATCTCAAATATTCAGTAGTAATATAACTTACTGATCTTAATCAATAAATTCTTTGATGGTGAAACTTCTATATAAACAACAATAAGAATTTGTTTATTTATACAATAGACATAAAAAACCAGAAAACCCCCAATTATTACAGAATCGAGTAAGATGGAGCATAGGGTTTGGTTATTTATCATGTTTATGGTTGTACTACTTTTAGCCCATTTCCCTTCTTCGGTCGATGCAGCCCTCAGGGTCATGATGTTGGCGAAATATGCTCCTAATCCTCCACCGGCAACCCGATATCATATCGGTTCACCACCCACGGCTGTTGCATCTTCGTCACTTACAAGAGATTCGTCGGGTTATGTTCCTAACCCTCCACCGGAAACCCGCTATCATATTGGTTCACCTCCCACAGCTGTTACATCTTCGTCGCTTACAGTTTTGTCGAAGTATGCTCCTAACCCTCCACCTGCAACCCGCTATCATATTGGTTCACCCCCCACAGTTGTTACATCTTCGTCGCTTACAAGTGATTTGTCGAAGTATGCTCCTAACCCTCCACCGGCAACCCGATATCATATCGTTCACCCCCGACGGCTGTTAAATCTTCGTCGCTTACAAGTAATTTGTTGAAGTATGTTCCTAGTCCTCCGGCACCTCGTTCAAATATCGGTTTGCCACCAGTGAACGTTGTCACGTCTTCATTGTTTCCGAAGAGTTTGAACTTCGGAATGTTGCCTAAAGGAGTGCCGATTCCTCCGTCGGGACCTAGTAGACGTACATCAGATCCATCTCCTCCACCACCACCATTTCTTTAATGTACTTTAAGCACACAGTTAATCATATAGTGCTCCTCTTCAAGAAATAAATAAAGTAAAAGTAGGACATGGTAGTCTATTCAATGTACAAACTTGAGCTTGAAATGAATAATTTTTGGTTCCAGTAGGTATGGTTGTACATCATGATTATGGTTGTACTAGGTTTAGGCCATTTCTCTATCATGATGTTGTTGAAATATGTTTCAATCCTCCTCCCATAACCCGTTATCGTATTAGTTTACCACCAACGACTGTCGTGTCTTCAGCAGTTCCCTAGTCGTTTGAACTCCAGTTTGTTGACTAAGGGTGTGCCCATCCCTCCATCAGGACACAATACGAGTACTTTGTTTTTTTTCTTCTTCGTTCTTTTATAATTATGAAGTGAATACAATATAATACCTATTCAAAGAATCAACCTTTTAACAATTATATATATATATATATATATATATATATATATATATATTGAATTCTCAACATTGTACATCTCAATTCTACTATGAATATTATACAAAAATAAATATCTTTATCGACTTTTAAATTAAGTTTGCTCACATATATTCCTTGTTGGGATTTCCTTTATCTTTCTCAATGTCATGTTACACGTTTCTTGGTGCTACGACAAACTACATGGGTCCATATAGAAATAGCAAACACCCATGTTACGTTTAGTTTGAGCAATTAGATTTACTTTGACTTGATTTTATATATCATTTATTGATTAAATAATTGTTTGAATTAAATTATATTATTTGGTGATTTCATACATTCTTTATCGTTGTTGTTATATAATATTGTATATCACATTACTCTAATAATATAATATAACCCACTTTTATTTTAAGAGTAAAGTACACAAACGGTCCCTTGACTATAATGCATTACTTTATTGAGTCCTATGACTATTAAAAAGTTATAAAATAGTCCCTTAAGTATAAGATATTGTTTTGTTGAGTCCTTCAACTATTAAAAGTTACAAAATGGTCACCTAACTATTCATATGTTCCAAAATTATCATTTTCTATTAAAAAATTGGCGTTCGTCTGAGCTTAACGTTAACCTACTGTCTGAGATATGATAAAATTATATTTAATGTTGTATATTGGCACCGCCGTTTCTTTTAAGCACTAGTCGCCAACATAATGTTTCAAGCACTAGCTTGACGACATAATGTAAACAGAGATTCGATCCACAAAATACAACTAAAACGTTTCTGAGATCAGATTTTATCATATCACAATCAACATGTTAAGTCCATCTCATATGACTGTCAATTTTTAACGAAAAATGACGAGTTTGGAGCATATGAATAGTTGGGTTATATTTTTGTAACTTTTAATTAATAATCGAATGACTCAATACAACATGTCCTATAGTTGGGAGACTATTTTATAACTTTTATTAGTAAGTGAACTCAACAAAATAATACTTTATAATCAAGGGAACATTTGTGTACTTTACGCTTATTTTGATTATGCATGTTTGATTGATGATTATTGATCAATAACATTATTTGTTCTCAACTTAATTAAAGTTGATTATATCTATATTTTTTGCATAAGATAATAACATTAAGATATATATTTTGAATTGGAAGGTGGTTTCAAGCCAATGATTTAAGAACAAACATTTTATAATATGGAGTTTCCAATATCCTTTGAAATAAGCAATTGAACATCGGACGATACAGAGTCGAGTAATTAAACTTTATAGTGATTGAAAATAGACATTTTCGCTAGTTTATCAGTTATCATGTTGCATTCTTGTGGGATCCAATGAATTTCCGTAAACCAGACTGATTTCAAATAACATAGATAATTTTTATCAATGAGAAAGGGTTGAAGTCTTCGGGGTAAGGATTGACTTCATGAGTTCCGCATAGTCCAATTACACTTGGAATCGTTCAAAATCGTGGGTCCATGCCACTTGAAGATCAATGTTGAGGCTCCACAGCCTAGCTTGAAGAGGAGTGTCGATGCTGAAAGCTTTCTAAAATTCAACGACTCAACCACCATAGTGAAAGTGGAACACACCTCCAATAGAGTCCAAACGAGTGCTAGATGACACCGAGGCATCAATCTCAAGAAGATCTAGTCTTGTAGAGGTGGAGTCCACTCAAAAGACTCCAGTCGATGATGATGAGGAGCAGCAACCTTGGAGGGGAGACTTGTGAAGTGGAGAGCCCATAAAAAACTAAAACGGATAATGTCGAATAGAGGTGAGCAACAATCAATGAAGATGAACTCATTGAGTCGCTTCTAAATTTAGTATAAAAATATATTAATATTGTATACTATTGATAACTCTCCAAAAGAGTTATCATATAAATCATTTATACTTAAATTTATTTTGAATTTAAGCATGTTCAGAAGCATTTTAAGATCATTTTATTTACATTTGCATGCATTATGCATCATGAGCAATATGGTTTCTCTTGAGATTATTTTGATTTTGATTGTTGAAAAAGGTACAAAAATGTTGTAGCATTGGAGTAGAAGCTGCAGCAAGCGATGAGTCATTAGTAGGGGTGTTCAAATAACCGAACTATTTCGGTTAACCGACCGAACCGAATTAGTTCGGTTAATTCGGTTCGGTTATCGAATTAGTTCGGTCGGTTAACGGTTAAGAAAATTTTTAGAATTCGGTTAACGGTTAATTCAGTTCGAAATCAGTTAATTAACCGAAATTAAATTTTAAATATTAAATATTTATATAGCATGTGGGCTCAGCCCAACCCATTTAAAACTCAATTAATAATTTAAGATCCAATAACTTTTAAACCTAAATCAATATTAATTAATTAAAAAATTTATATAAATTTTTTATTTTATAATTATATATTATTTAAATTAATTGTAAACTATTTTTTTAATTAAAAAATATTAAATATATTATATATAACATATGGGTTCAGCCCAAACCATTTAAAACCCAATTAATAATTTAAGATCCAAAAACTTTTAAACATAAATCAATATTAATTAATTAAAAATTTTATCTGAAATTTTTATTTTATAATTATATATTATTTAAATTAATTATAAACTTTTTTTTTTGAATTAAAAACATTTAATTTTTATATAAATTAGAAAATTTTAAAAAAAATTCGGTTAATTCGAAAATTAGCCGAATTAACTGAAATTTATTCAGTTCGGTTAATATTTTCGAAAAAAAGTTCGGTTCGATTAATGGTTAAAGAAAAAAAAAAGTTCGGTTAATTCGGTTATGGTTAATTCGATTCGGTTCGGTTCAGTTTTAACCGAATGAACAACCCTAGTCATTAGGTGCTAGACAGAATGTTCTGGAATGGGACAGTTGCCTGGGACAGCTGTTACTTCTCCAACTAGCACCTGACGTGTGGAACAATTTCATTAGAGATAGGATGGCTCATTTCACCTATAAATAGGAGGGTCATTTGCTCACTTCATCATCATATTTTCTACACCCCACTCTCAAACAGTCATTGTCGAAACGGTTTTTGAAAAACTCACGTTTCGACTAATTAATTCATTGGTTAATAGTAAAATGTGGTTCGAGAAGTCGCCACTAATATTTGATTAGGGTGTGATTAGGCACCCAAAAAGTATTTTGTTATTTTAATAAAAATATTAATTTTAATTAAAACACCAAATTTGCGGTTTGCGTTACCAAAATTCGAGTTTGGGAGTCGGTTATGTGTGGCGAATGATTAGACCCCCACAACGCCCTAAATCAGTACATAGTCGATTAATTAATTGTATTTGCAATGAAATTTAAGAATTCGAGTCTAATTTAATTCAAGATCCCATACATATAATATTCTTTAAATTTTAGGACGAAGCACAATAATATTTAATTATTTCCTATCGAGAAGAATCGACATCTCATGCCTTAAAGCAATCGATTCTTATTCCAATCGAAATAAAGAAATATTAAAATTCCATTCCAAAGTTCATTATTAATTCAAAATAACAACACCAAAATAATTTTAAGAGAGAAAAGAATAATATCTAATTATTTCCAATCGAGAATGCCTTAAGCAATAATTTATTACTCTAACCGAAATGAAAAGATATCACTCTTTCATATTAAAATTCAAAATTGATTTGAGTGCAAACGATAATATTTAATGATTTCCAATCAAGAATAAATGACCTCTCATGCCTTAAAGCAGTCATTTATTATTGTAATCGAAATGAATATATATCACTATTACGTCTTAAAAATCAATAATGATTCGAGAGAAAACAATAATATCTAATTATTTCCAATCGAGAATAAATGATCTCTCATGCCTTAAAGCAATCATTTATTACTCCAACCGAATTGAAGAGATATTACTATTTTCAATATCGATTCGAGTGTTACTATTTTGAAAACCCATTGAAAAACACATGAAAAAATAAAACGAATTAGAAGCATACATAAAGTATTTATTTTACCGACCTTCAATGAGAAAAACAATGTTCAATTAAATACACCGAGACGAGACCTTAGATTCGATTTAGCAATCTTTTTTGGCGAATTTAAATAAAAAATCATGATCTTTTTCTCGATCCCAAATTTTAGTTGTAATCGAATTTTAGGTTTCCACTTGACGGATACGATTCTGGGTTCGATTCCCAATGGAGTCGTCAAGCTGTCGAAACGATTTTTGAAAAAGGGTATAGTTTCGACTAATTTGTTGACCAGATAATAGTAAAACGTGGTTCGAGGAGTTGCCACCAATATTTGATTAGGATGTGATTGGGCACCCAAAAAGTATTTTGTCATTTTAATAAAAATATTAATTTTAATTAAAACAACAAATTTGCGATATGTGTTACCAAAATTCGAGTTCGAGAGTCGTTACGTGTGGTGAAGGATTAACACTCCCACAGTGCCCTAAATCGGTACCTAGTCGATTAAGTAGTTGTCTTTGCAATGAAATTTAAGAATTCGAGTCTAATTTAATTCAAGATCCCTTACAAGTAATATTCTTTAAATTTTAGGATGAAACACAACAATATGTAATTATTTCCTATAAAAAAGAATCGACCTCTCATACCTTAAAGCAATCGATTCTTACTCTAATCAAAATAAAGAAATATTAAAATTCCATTATAAAGTTCACTATTAATTCAAAATAACAACACAAAAATAATTTTAAGAGAGAAAATAATAATATTTAATTATTTCCAATCGAGCATAAAATAATCTCTCAAGCCTTAGAGCAGTCATTTATTACTCCAACCGAAATGAAAAGATATAACTATTTCATCTTAAAATTCAATATTGATTTGAGTGAAAACGATAATATCTAATGATTTCCAATTGAGAATATATGACCTCTCATGCCTTAAAGCATTCATTTATTACTCAAATCGAAATGAAGATATATCACTATTCTGTCTTAAAAATCAATATTGATTCGAGAGAAAACGGTAATATCTAATTATTTCCAATCGAGAATAAATGATCTCTCATGTCTTAAAGTAGTCGTTTATTACTCCAACTGAAATGAAGAGATATTACTATTTTCAATATCGATTCGTGTGTTACTATTTTGAAAACCCATTGAAAAACACATGCAAAAATAAAACGAATTAGAAGCATACATCAAGCAAGTACCATTAATTATTTATTTTACCGACCTTTAATGAGAATAAGGATGTTCAATTATTTAAATACACCGAGATAAGACCTTAGTTCGATCTAACAATCTTTTCTTAGTGAATTTAAATAAAAGAACATGATATTTTTCTCGGTCCCAAATTTTAGGTGTAATCGAATTTTAGGTTTCCACTTGACAGGATACAATTTCATTTTAAAAACATCGGAAGTAATCTCCTTATACGTTAAGACAATCACTTCACGATAATCGAAAAATAAAAATGATATTACTCTTAATCCAATTATTTTAATCGAGTCGAGGATGCTTATGAGGTTTCATATATTTTTCATGCAATTTAATTAAAATAGGACCCAATTTACATATTTACATACATAGCATGCATAAAAAAATAACATAATTAATATATAAAATTTATTTAATAAAATATAATACACTTAATAAGTGAATATTAATAATATAGTATACATGTATAAGTTTAAAAAAATCATAAAAATAACACATAAATTTTTATCTATTAACATATATTTTTAACTTAGGATAGAAATAATTATATATATAAAATACAAAATATATGTATACATGTATATATATATATATAATAGTTAAAAATAAGATAAATAAAATAAATATATTTATACAAAATAATATATTTTGTAAATACATATCTATAAATGTACATATATAAAAAATAAAACAATGGAAAGTATAGGGATTAAAACACATTTGAACCATTTTGAAATGAGGATTAAATCAATACATGACAAAAGAGTAAGGACTAAGCATGCTAATAAACTACCTCATTCATAACAGTATCTAAAATAAGAAAGGATTAAAATGAACAATCCAAAAATAACAGATCCAATGTGCAAACAAGCGTAAACTCGAAACAACTAAGCCCAAGGACCAAAATACAACATGAGTAAAATTAGAAGAGAAAATCATAAACTTCATAAGTCACGAAACAAGGCTAAAATAGAACATGCAGAAAATGAGGAGCTCGAAATAAAAAAATGGAAAATTGCATTAAATGACTAAATTGAAAAGGTTACAAACATTGGGTGGCCTGCTGCATGATTAACCCATGCGTTAAAATAAAAAAACCCTAAACCCCTAAAACAACATCATTTTAGGGGTTTAAATAGCTCATTTTATGTGATTCTTGGTTGAACCCTCTTTATTTCATTTTCATCCGCTTTTTCTCACCCTATTATCATTTCATGTTCTCTCAACCGAGAGATGCAAGTATCTCTCTTCGGCCGCTTGAAATGGCCCCGACGAGGGGCCAACAACCATCTTTCTACTCCCTCTCAGTCCTCGAGCCTAAATGAGCATTCACATACCTATTCGACCCCTTTTTCCCTCCAAAATACCAAAACACGAGAGTGAAAAAGGGCTACCTTCGATAATTCACTCCTCCGATGAGCGACAAGGCTCTCTCTGGTGGAAGATGGTAAGCTTCCTCTCGGTTTCTTCCTTGCTTTCAATTTCTTATGTTTCTCTTTTTTTTTTATTTTTTCTCAAAATCGAACACCTCTCATCGTTTTTTTCTTTCCCTATTCTCTATTCTCTGTACTTTTTCCTTTTTAAAAACCCCTGAATCCCCCCATTTAGATTTTCTCGTCCTCTTTCTCTTTGTGTGCTTGGGGAGAATTTTGCAGAGGTCATCATCATCGGTTCGGTCGAATCAC